TACACAGCATTAAAAAAAACAGTAAATATAAGAAGAAAATATCAGCATGGATTGTGCACAGTAAAGTACTGTTTTAAAAAGTCTTATTTTAGTTATATGCAGTTTTTGTATTTATTAGTTTATTAGGTAACAATGTGAAACATATTTCTTACTGTGTTTTACAACAAAAACATTAAAAGTCCCTTAAGAGGATCTTCTATTATAATTGTTAAATTGTCCTTCTGTGACAGCTGTGAAAGTGTGCAATTCTAATCTCCTTTCACGAAAGAGTGCAGTTGCTCTATGAGGAGTACAGTTAGCTGACAGCCTTCAACAAACAGCATTGCATTCAGGATCTGTTAAAGTCTTGACTTCGTTAAATGGTGTTGAGAAAAGTGGACAGCCACGTGCAAAAGAATGCAACTGGACCACTATCTTAGACCATACATAAAAATGAACTCAAAATGGATTGAAGACTTGAAGATAAGGCCTGAAACCACAAAACTACTAGAAGAAAACATACAGTAAGCTCCTTGATATCAGTCTTGGCAAAAGTACTTAAGATTTGGCACTAACAGCAAAGGCAACAAAAGCAAAAATAAGCAGTGGGGCTACATCAAACTAAAGCACTTCTCTGCACATCAAAGAAAACCATCAACAAAATGTAAAGGTAACCCATGGAATGGGAGAAAATATTTGCAAATCATACATCTGATAAAGAGTTAATGTTAAACACATAAAGAACTCACACATCCCAACAGCAAAAGAAAATCTGATTTTAAAGTGGGCAGAGAAACTGAACAGACATATTTTCAAAGAAGACACACAAATGGTCAACACGTACGTGAAAGGGTTCTCAACATCACTAATCCTCAGGGAAATGTAAGTTAAAACCATAATGAGATGTAATCTCACACCTGCTAGGATGGCTGTCATCAAAACCACAAGAGATAATGTTGGCAAGGATGTGAAGAAAGGGGAACTCTACTCCACTGGTCCTGGAATTTAGCTTGATCTAGTCACTGTGGAAAAGAGTATGGAGATTTCTCAAGAAATTAACAATAGAACTACCATATGAACTACCTATTAACAATAGAACTACCATATTCCAGTAAGTCTACTGCTAAGTATAAATCTGAAGGAAATGAAATCCCTTTCTCAAGAAGATAACAGCACCCACATCTTCATTGTAGCATCATTTATAATCACCAAGCCATGGGTGAACAACTTAAGTGTCCACTGATGGTTGAAAAAATGTGGTGTATATTTACAATGGAATATTATTCAACCATAATAGAGAAGGAAACCCTTCCATTTGCGACAATGTGGATGGTCCTTGAGGCACTATAAGTGAAATATAACAAAGAACAGGTTGGTCCTTTGACGAAGGAGGGGCACCGGGAAGAGGAGAAATGGGTGAAGGTGATCAAAAGGTACAAACTTCCAGTTATAAAAAAATAAGTCCTGGGGATATAATGTACAACATGGTGACCATATAATTATTATATTTAATAATTACAGTTAATGACACTGTATTATATATTTAAAAGTTAAGAGAGTAGATCTTATAAGTTCCCAGCACAATAAAAACAATTTTAACTGTGTGGTGTTGGATGTTAACTAGACTTACTGTAGTGATCATTTCACAATATATAAATATATCAGATCATTATTTACACCTGAAACTAATATAATGTTATATGTCAATTATATCTCAATTGAAAAATCTTTTAATTAAAAAAAATTTAAGGCTTTGAGTCAAAGTCATGTTCTTTCCAGGCAGGCCCCACATGATGAATTCCAGGAAGTGCCCATTTCTGCCCAGTAAAGGACTCCCCTATTAAGCTACCTCAAATCTCCCTTTTGGGTTAGCCAATACTTTGTCAATTCTACATCGCAATTTTAGCTTCCCTCTCCCCAATTCTGTTTCCTTTGCCCCTTTTCCTTAAAAAAATGTCAGAGCTGCATCAAGGTCTGAAGATTTACCAGACCCAATACATCCTCATCCCCCTTAAATTTTCACAGGCCTTATCTCCCAGTAAATATCTTACACTCCTAAATCCATCTTACCCTAACCTTCTAGCAGGATCTGAACTGATACATCTTCATAGCACTTACTATAATTCACAATGTTGTTTATATGTTTGTGTGTTTGTATATTATCTCTATCACATTGCAACCTCCTTCGGTGGCAGTCTTTTCCACTGAAGGGCTCTGCTCTCATAAAGCCTGGGTAACCTCCCTGTCGACTCCATCCTCATCCTTGCTCTAGGCCCAGACAAGTCAGTAGTGGTTGTACAGTTTTATGTTACATAAGGGATCACAACAGAGAGGACTAAAACCCCATTTCAGAGCTATCTTCCAAGGGTAGGACTTCTCAATTTTGGCATTATTGACATTTTAGATTGGTTAATTCTTTGCAGTGCAGAGGTTGTGCTTGCACATTATGGGATGTTTAGTAGCATTCCTAAACATCTAGTCTTCTACTAACTAGATGTCAATGGCCCATCTCAGTTGTGACATTTATGTTTACATGTCCCCAGGGGTGGAAGGGTGGGGGTTAGCAGAGAAGTCCCTTCTGGTTGAGAAACACTGGCCTTGAAAAAGAACATCTTTTTTCTAATTTTCCCCAAAATGCCATATGGTGAATTAGAACCCCTGCTAGAATTTACCATGGTCCTGGCTAAGCAGATGAAGGCTAAGCAAACCCAGATGATTTAGCAGTAATTCCCAAACAGTGTGAGGTTTTCAGTCCCTTGGTTGTGTCTGTCCCTTGGACCCTAGGTGAAATTGCATGTGCTCCTATGAGTTACAGACTTAGGACTGAGCAGAAAATCTCAGGTGGCTGACTGTGCCTAATGGAAGCTTTCTGCTCCTGGCAGACAGAAAAATTTAAAGGAGGGCCCATACAGGGAGTCACCATTGGTGTTCCAATGGACAGATGAACATTCTTTTGGCCTCTATGTCTTCTCATCACAAACTGTTTTACCCAGTTTTGCTTGGAAAATCATTAATCATCTTTATGTAAATTTCTGTTTCTGTTCACCCTGAAACATGCTACATACTGGTTACTTCTTACATAAGAAGTGCCTAATTTTTAAAAAAGTCTGTAATTCTGAGTGACTGACCTTAATATTTCAAGGTACCTATTTTGGCTTATTGTGTGAGCCATAGCTATCTCCATCATCCAGCATAGAACCTCTAATATCTCTATTTCAGATGCTTTGCAGTGTGAATGCCGGCTCTTCAAAGTTTTGGGGGTGTTCTTTTAGATTTTATTTATTTATTTTTAGAGAGGGGAGAGGGAGGGAGGGAGGGAGGGAGAGAGAGAGAGAGAGAGAGAGAGAGAGAGAGAGAGAGAGAGAGAGAGAGAGAAACATCAAATGTGCGGTTGCTGGGGGCCATGGCCTGCAACCCAGGCATGTGCCCTGACTGGGAATTGAACCTGAGACACTTTGGGTCGCAGCCCGCGCTCAATCCACTGAGCAAAGTTTTTCTATTCCACACAGTGTATTTCATACGTGCCACTTAACATACATTTTAAGTTTGGCTTTTCCCACAAATTTGGTGTAAATCCATGTCCTGCCATTTCCTCATTATGCTGCACAGGCAGAAACTTCATTTTGTCTCTGGATTTGCTTCCCCTCCAACCCCACTCCAACTGGTTTTATTTCCTCACTTGCATTCATTTGCATACTTTAAATGTATATTTTGGATTCTGAATATTTGGTGTGCACGACTTAGTGGGTACGTAACCAGAAAAGACACGGGTGTTCAGGCTGTCACTACCAAATCCAATAAGCAATAACAGTGATTAAATCTTTATGGACAATTTATTCAGATAGCTGGTGATCTGAGAAGATGGTGGGTTCATACCCTAACAAACCATCTTGTCTTTTCTTTCCAGCCCACATCTCTTATAAGGTTGGGGTGGGTGTATAAACAAGTTGCAGTGAGAGCTTTGAAATTCAGGGAGGATTAGGTGATTGAAGCCACAGCATTCCTGTTCTGGGCAGTTAGGGTTCCCAGGAATGGCAGTCATCTTATCTTCCTCTAGCACAAAAGGTCCGGATGTCCCCAGGCAGTAATCTTTTAGCAGTGCCCCAGGAGACTGGCTGTTTTCCCAGGAGCCAGGATAGGCCTTATCTGTAGTTTCTGAAACAAAAGCTTTAACATACACATTACTTGCTAGATTTATAACTTTTTACCTTAAGCTAAAATTTTCTAAGTCTTGAGTCCCCTAACAGATCCAGGATTTAGAAAGGGGGATTGCAAGACACTTTAATAAAATCCATTACAACCTTTTCAGTCCAGTCTTAATGGAGAAAAGCGACATATGCCTCTAGAATGTTGAGGAATTTTCACAAATGAAACATAGAATAAACTTCTGTCCCAAATGCGGTGGGGGGGGGGGGTGCGGGGATGGAGGGAGCAGGGCAGAATTCCTGGAAAAGACTCAGGGCTGGAACTGGAAAGGGTTTAGGGCTGAAAACCCTTATTATTCGTGTTGCTCTTCCGTGTCAGCGAGCAAGACTGAAAGAAGGCGCTCTGTACAATGCCTCCAGCCAGCGACTACGTGTTGCTGGGGCGCTGGAACAAAAATACACCAATCTTCCCGGTGGTTAAATCAGTGGACAGCATTACTGAGTATAGGGCTCATTCGAGGCGCCACCGTCACAAACGACACTGCAACACAAAATCATACTTTCTGAGATAATAGCTCAAACTAAATAACCCAGCGCTGAGTATAAATTTGCATTCAGCCCATTATCTCCTCAAAAACAAGACGTTCTTTCTGGGTCTTAAATATCTGATACCTTCAGAAAACTACCAACTCCACGGAACCTACTCGGCAGGTCGGGCGTATAAGCAAGCACCGCGAGCACGCGGACCAGGTACGCGTGCAGCTGCGAAGGACCAAACTTTAATATCCTGAGCGCGCAGCCGAGGAATGACGTACGCCTGTCTGGCGTAGGTCTCCCTGCCGCAGAGCTTAATGGGTGGAACGGCGGAGCGCAATATGGCGCCTGCCGCTTGAATACGAAACGAACTCTGAGGAAGACCGGAGAGGCGCTACCGGTACCCATGGTAACTTGGGTTACCGACCTTTTGTGGAAACTGTATTGCCTACGGGGCGCAGAGGCCGCCCCCAGTTTTCGTGAGTCCGCTTGAGACGCACAGTGACGCAATTCCAGAGCGCGCCGGTGCCCGGTTGGCTGGCGGGCGGGCTCTTCAAATTTGAATCTTACATAGTTGTGGGTGTTAAGGAGCTCCTGGCTGCTGGTTGGTGCGGGCGAGGGTCGGAGGCGCGACCCTGAGACGCCTGGGCCCGCATCCACACTAAGCTGAGTCGGGACCGCTGTCGCCTCTGTCTGCCAGGCCCTTCACTCCAGGTACGGCCTTCTGTCCCTCCGCTTCCCTCCTGCCGCCGAGCCCCTCTGGAGCTGCGCGTCCCAGCCCTTGAGCTTTCTAGGTCCTCGAGAGCTTTGTAATATTTCTGTCTTTGGCAGTAGTTTCACAACTACTCACTTATTCGGTGTGTGCATTTGTTGCGTGTCTACTGCATATCAAGAAAGTAGCCCACTTTCGTTCAGATTTGTCTAGATGTGTGCTCTAGGCCTTTGTTCTAAAATCACTTCTGGCGTGGGGGTGCTGGCGGGGGACTTGACTTTAGAAAATTACCAAGGAGGAAAATTGTGTGCATCGCTGCCCGGTTTTTCACCTTGGAACCCAAGATCCACAGGGCTGTAGAAACAATTGATCCATCCAACTTTTGTTTTGTTCTGATTAAATTATGTATTGGTTGCGAACATTTTAGATGTCAAAACTAATTCGAAGATGAAAGGCCCCTTCATCCTACTCTTCAAATATAAACACTTTACAGTTTGGTACGGTTTCAGATTTCCCCCCTGCTCTTACTTGCGTGTGTGTGTGTGTGTGTGTGTGTGTGTGTTAACCGTAACGCGATTGTATGTTCTGTCGTGCTTCTTTTTTACTTAATATGTCCTAGCTATTTTTATGTCATCATATAATGTGTTTTTATTGAGTACATAGAATTCAGTTGTATGGATGTAGCAGAATTTTGTCCTGTATTAGACATTTAGATTGTTTCTAATTTCTTTCGTATCCTGGTGAACGTCCCTAATACAGTGCCTGTTTAAAAAACTTGGGCTTAGAAATCAGATAGTTTTGGATCCAGCTCTTAATCATTGTCAGTGGGACTTTGGGGCAGGTTATTTAACACCCTGTGCCATAATTTCCTCATTTTCAGGGAGTTTCTTGATCAGTGGAGTGCACACCTGTATTTTGAAATTAAGCTTTACCAATCTGATAAGTATAAGAAGTCTTACTATTTTAATTTGCATGTATTCATTTATTAGTAAATGGAGTGTCATTTTACTCATTTATTGGCCTTTGTAATCTTTCTGTTAATTGCCTTCATCAGTGTCCTTTGTCTATTTTCTGTATTGATCATTTTTAAAATTGATTCATTTGTTCTCTTTGAATGTTATATAATTTAGTCTCTTTGTATAACAGGTACTGCTTTTTTAGGGGGGTTCAAATTTACCATTTACCAGTTAATTAACAAGTCCTCTCTCATTTTTCCCAACTCAACCTCCCAGTTTTGGTTAGTGTGCCTTGGAATTTTTTGCCCATTCCATTATCATAATTAGAGGTAGTACTGCTACCACTACAGTGAATTCCTAGAAAAAAATTTCATGTCTTTTTGGGAAGAAAAGTAATCGTTATATTCAGTATCCTGTTCATTATAACAGTTGTTTAATGTTTATATTTACATTTACTATGAATGCTCATAGCTAGCCTGTTTATCTAATGGTTTTCCCATGCCTGAGTTTTTAATTTCAATAAATAACAGTTTTTTCCTAGTATATCAACATTTGTCAGTTTTTAGAATAAATTATAAGGATTAGATTTTTCCAAATAGCTTTAAGCATTTAATGAAAGCACAAGCATACCATTTTAGAATTCACCTGCTTTTTCCCAGTCCAGAAAGAAGATAACCATTTTTTTGTTAGTGACTTCTGTTGAGTCAAGTATACTAGGCCTTCAAGACACTGTTCTTTCCTTACTTAACTTGAGGAGTGCCAGTTACTGGATCCCCATTTTTAATGTTTCTCTGTTTCATTGGAGTCTGAGCAGCATAATTTGTTTTCTTTGATTTGCTCTTCTTTTAAGTAGGAGGAGAACAGGGCCTTCAGGTGTTTCTTGATGGCCTCTACCCCATGGTGTTTTGTTTTTCTTCATTGTCTATTCTGCAAAGCCTCTATGGTCAGAGAAAATCCTAGGCGATTTGTTCCCCCTCTGTTCTTTGTTCTAGATCAACCATAGTGAAACTACTGTCAACTATTGCCAACTCTTTTGGCTTCTATTGAGTTGCTATTTACCACATGGTAGGAAAGAAGGGTTTTTTGAAGATGTTTAAAATTTTGATGACCCATCTCTCCATCCTACCACACGGCTGAATTGAGAGGGAAGAGATTGGGAAACATGGAAGAGGCGATATGAGCTGATCTTGGAGCCTTTCAATATGACCATAATTATCTGCCTTTAGATGCAGTTATGTGTGCCTACTACACATTGGGCTTATTTTTAGTTCTGCTAGTTAATTTATAGTTTATACTTCCTGTTGAGCTTTTCATTAGGTTCTAAGGAATTGAGATTGTGTAAATTTGCACATACTTTTGTATTTTTTCATACAGTTTCCCATTTTATTAATTTTTGGTTTTGGGAATTGAAAATAAACAGCTAGTGAGTAGTGTAACTGCTAGCACATAATTTCCATAATACCACTAGCACATTGCCATATAATTATGTGTTAGTGCATCTTTGTTGAATTAATATTCTGTGGAAGAATTAATTGGTTTTGTATCATACAGCTAGACTCCCAAATACTTTTCTTTATCAGCTCTTGTTATTGAGAAATATTTCCTTCTCTTTTTCTCCTATAAACTATTGGATAAAATAGTTTGTATGTGAATTTTTAACTTGCATATTTATTTCTAACAGAAGTTAACTGTACATTAAGATTTTTGATGTCTTTGGTCTAGCTGCATTAGTATTTTCTGTGATAGGCTTTTTATGTTTATATAATGTCAAAGACTTAATGGAATAGTTATAAATTCAGCAATAAGAGATGCTTTAAATTTAGACTAGTAAGCTCTTTGGGTTGAAATATTTTACTTATTTACCAATTATTACAAAATGCAGTTATATAGCTTATCATCTATAATCTTAATTTCTAGGTGTCAGATATAAAATTTGTATATAAGAAACAAGCTAAAACAAGTGTAAGACCATGTATGCTCAAGTACATGATTCCCTTGAAAATTCCTAAATAGCATGAAAAGAAAATTTTAATTAGAATGATTTAAGGGCTTTTCAACTAAAATCTCAAATTGATATGTTCTGTGACATAATAAAATCAGAACTGGGGATTATTTACCTAAAAACTTGAGTTGATTTTTCAGATTTTATTAGGATATGTGATTGTATCTGCTGCCTTAAAATTTAAGTACCTAAAGGGAAAAACTATATTTGTGAAACTTAATCTTTTGTAACCTAATATACTGCCATATGCAGGTGTCCTTTAATGCTTTTGATGCTAATACTAGCTTGGAACCTCCCAGACTTGAGGTTTAAGTAAATTTCAAAAATGACATTCAAAATTCAATTCTTAGAGCTATTAAGTACATGTTTTGGTGAATCCTACCTTTTTGTTAAGAGATTATGTATTCAATAGATAAACTGTTTATCTATTAGAAAATAATAAAATGAGGTTTAACAAAAATATAAAATCTTAATCTGACTTGTTAGCTATAGGTAATCCAGTGTTGTTATGAACCAATTAAACCTTTTCATTAGTATAATGTTGTTAAGGAAAGCAAATATACCTAACTTTTTTTGTACCAGAGCATGATAATGGTTGCTTTCAAACTGAATTACAGGTTCTTCTGGGCCCCTGCTGAAGATCTGTCCTTAAAATTGTGTCTGAATAAGTTTTCTAATAGAGGAAATCCTGTTTATCAAGATGATTACAACACCTTTGAAACGTCCAGGAATTCACTTGTCCTCAGAGACATCTTCTCAAAGGAGAAATATGCCCATTCATGCAGTCTTTTTTGATAGCATTCCTTCAGGCACACTTACTCCTGTAAAAGATTTGGTGAAATATCAGAACTCCTTTTTAAAATTGAATGACCATAAGGAGAACCAATTCTTAGAAATGCCAATTTCTAAAGATAAAATTGTATTCCAATCTACCATGCTAGCAGAGCCTTGCACCTCTAATAGTTTTCTTAACATCAGTGCTATAAAGCCCAACAAGGATGTATTGAAAAATAAAGCAAACTATGAATCGCCAGTAAAAGTATTTCAAAGAATGAAAGAAAAAGTAATGCGTAACAAGCAAGAACAAGCATCAAGAAACAATAATGTGTTGGAACCACCAAAAAGTGAAAGTAACAAAATTTTCACACGTAATGGAGCTGAGAAAAGAGTGTTACAGCATACCTACCTCTGTGAACAAAAGGAAAACAACAAATCACTTCATTCAGAGAACAGCTCATTAAAAGGTTAGTTATGTGTCGGTTAAAAAGCTATAATGTGTTATTGTATACAGCACTATTTTAGGTACTCAGTATACAGCAGTGAACAAAATGAGTAAAAATCCCTGCCCCCATGTAGCTAACTCACATTCAGGTGGTGGGGGACAGAAGCAGTAAGTAATTTTATGGTACAGTAGAAGAGAAGTGCTATGGAAAGAAAAAGAAGGAGGATGAGGGTAGTTATAGCAGGTTGTAATTTTCAATGTGGCGTTCAGGGTATGCTTCAAAGAGAAGTTGACTTTTGAGCTGAAAAATTGAAGAGGATGATAAATATATAGATAGGTATCTTGGGGAATGGGGAAGGCTGGTGTAGACAGGTAACAGCTGTTACAGATGCCCTGAAATTTCTGTATAATTTCAGGAGCATGCCTCACAAATTCAAGGACTAGCTATGAGATTAAGGTATCGTGCAGTGAGTCTGCAGAGCTGGGCAGGCGGAGATAAGTAAGTGGGTTGGGTAATGTAAGACCTTTAGGTCAATGTAAGAGTTTGTGCTTTTACTATGAGCAAAATAAGGAGCCATCGGAAGGTTTTGAGTAGAGAAGTGACAAGACCTGACTTACATTTTTAAAATAGCACTTTTGCTGTTAATTTGAAATGGTTACTGCAGTAATATAGGTGAAAGATGGTGTTGGCTTGGTCCAGGTGGTATCAGTGAAGGTAAGTAGAAGTGGTGGAATTCTGGATATATTATAAAAGAAAAGCCAATCACATTAGCCCATATATGGGATATGGAATGTTAGAGAGATATAAAGGATGACTCCAGAGGGCAGGTTTTTTTATTTGTTTGATTTTGTTGTTATTACCCAAGCAACTGGAAAGATGGGGTGATTGAACTGAAGTGGTACAGACTAAAAGAGTGAGATCAGGATCGGTTATTTTTGTCACATGAGTTTTGATATATCTGTTAAAAATTGAAGTGTAGATGTGAATTAGGCTATTGAAAAAAATATTAGTTGGAATTCAGTGAAGTACTATATTTTTCCATTTATAATGCACTCCTGTGTATAAGATGCTCCCGTGTATAACACGCACCCATATTTTTGGCCAAAATTTTCAGGGGGAAAAAATCTTTCATTTTAATTTTTTAATTCAATTTTTAATTTATATTTAGATACTTGTTTTTGTATTATAAAGGGATTTTAGCATTATTTCTTGACATGGATATTGTTATTGCTTTCTAGAGTTACACTTACTTAATGCATAAGCATAAATAAAAGAATTAAAAAACATTTATATAGATATGGAATCTGTACTACCCATGTATAATGTGCATCCTTATTCTTTCCTCAAAAGTTCGGTGGGAAAAGTGCACATTATACTCAGCAATATATGGTGGTCCAGGCGTGAAAAATATATTTGGGAATCATTAGCACCTAAATGGTCTTCAAAGCTATGAAATAAGATGGGATCATCAAGGAGTAAGTGTAAAAAGAAAACATTGAAGAATGAGCCCTGTGACACCCCAAAATTTGGAAGTTAGAATACAAGATGTAGAATGGTGAAGACCACTTAGAAGAAGATGAGGAGTGATACTTTGGAAGCCAGAATAACAAAATGCTTTAAAGAGTCATTAGCTGTGTCTAATACTACTAATCAGTCAGGTAAGATGAAGGCTAAAATTTGACCATTGGATTTAAGAATGTGGATGTTGGCCCTGGCTGTTGTGGCTCAGTGGAGGTCTGCGAAGCGGAACGGCACCAGTTTGATTCTCAGTCAGGGCACAGGCCTGGGTTGTGGGCCAGGTTCCTAGTAGGGGACACATGAGAGGCAACCACACATTGCTGTTTCTCTCCCTCTCTTTCTCCCTCCCTTCCCCTATCTCTAAAAATAAATAAGTAAATAAAATCTTTAAAAAAAAGTAGATGTTATTCGTGACTTTGATGAGAGCAGTTTTGGTTGAGTAATAGAAGCAGAAACGTGATAGAAGAGGGTTCAAGAGGGAATGTGCAGAGAGAAATTAACAGTAGTGAATATAGACAACTCTTTTGAGGAGAACTAAGAAGTATGAGGAGAAGCTTTTAATGGATTTTATTGTTTTTAATGATTGGTGAAATAACATTTTTGTGTGCCTTTGGGAATAATCCAGTAGGGAAGGAAAAACAGATTGGAAGCCTAATACCCTTGAGTATTTATACTCAAGGGTAGGGAAGGAAAAACAGATTGGAAGCCTAATACCCTTGAGAAGGAATAAAATCTAAAAGTGGAGATTTGATTTTAGCTAGGAACATAAATATATCATAAATCAAACAAGAAGATAGGCAGTGTTGTATGACTTCAGATATAATCTGAAATGGGAAGTAAAGTCATTAGCTGAGAGTGAATGTAGGAAGCAGGTATTGAAATTTGAGGAGGTGGAGGTTTGAATAGTGTAGGAGAGTGGAAGAGTGAATGGTCGAGGCTTAAATTTGATCTCCTGGACGACACTAAGAACCTACTTGAGATTTGTGGGCATGAATTTAAATGAGACCATTCAGTATGGTTGTGAGTTTTCCTCTGGCCCTATTAGCTACTTAGGTGCTGGTGGGAAATAGGCAGGGAGTTGGATTCTTTCAGGATTGTAATTTTGCCAAGTAGGATGAAATGAGAAAAAAACACAGTAGTTGAGGTTGTATATGTGTGGCGGATACCGGCCAGCAGTATCCATCCCTGCTGCAGATGCTCATTGAAACACGAGAAAAACATACACAGAGACAACTGGGTCCTGTGGGGAAATAGGGACGAAACGGCCACTCTCTCTAGCGAGGAGTGCACTGAGCCCTTGCCTGAGAAGGCTTTTTATTAAGAATACAGACACAGTTTGTGGATTCACAGTCTAGCAGAAAAGATCAATAGGAATAGGTAACTTTCAAAGGTGCTGACAGAACTCCCGCTGGGATTCTGGGCAAAGTTTGGGGTTTTAGCACTACAGGACCTAAAAGCTAGTTTCGTTTCCTGCCTATGCCTTCATATTCTAAATTTTTTAAAAAGATTTTATTTATTTATTTTTAGAGAGGGAAGGGAGGGAGAAAGAGAGAGAGAAACATCAATGTGCGGTTGCTGGGGGCTGTGGCCTGCAACCCAGGCATGTGCCCTGACTGGGAATCAAACCGGCAATGCTTTGGTTCACAGCCCGCACTCAGTCCACTGAGCTACGCTAGCCAAGGCCATATTCTAATTTAATAACATCCTCCAGCAAGCAGATCTCACAGGATGTTGCATATTCTATGTCCCAGGCCTGATTACCCCAGGGGTCCGCCGACTCTAGTCTGGGCTGCACCACCCCTGTTATTTCCACAGGCCTGAGTCAACAGAGGAGACAAAGGCAGCCAGGAGACTTGGATTTCTTACAACTAAGAACAAGGACTCAGGATTTGACAAAGCCGAGAGGGCAGGGGTTGATGTCCATCACCTCTTTATATCCACAGCCTGAAGTCTCTTCCCTGAGGCCTCCTGTGATCATGCCTGTCTTGGATGATTACCCCCATGGGAAATCTTACCCATCATTGGCTAACTGATCAAGCATAGGAGGCCAGGCACATAACAGACAGCATTCATGCGAGGAAAATAAGTTTTGTCTCCTTAGTGGCCTCCTGGTCCGGAGGTCTCTCAACTCAGCCTGAGTCACAGAGGGTTACAGCTTCCTGAGACCAGGCAGGGCAGACTCCAACATCTACTTAGGTGCTGGTGGGAAATAGGCAGAGAGTTGGATTCTTTCATGATTGTAATTTTGCCAAGTAGGATGAAATGAGGAAAAAAACACAGTAGTTGAGGTTGTGTGTGAAGGTGGTAACGACAGTTGGCCATGAAATTTAAGTTGTTTACACAAGGAAAAGAGGACCTAAAGGAGATAAAAAAGTGAGAAGTGTAGGTCTTATGGGGATACTAAGTATATTTAAGAGAATGATCTGGAAAGATAGAAAGTGGTCAGAAATGGGACCTGAGAGATGTTAGTTGCAGTAATTAATAAAGATATTTTACATGTGTTACCTTTTAATCCTTTCAGCAAATGCTGTGGTAGATGCTCATTGAATAGTCTAGGAAATGTGACTTACAAAGAGGTTTTATCTGCCCTGTGTCTCACAGATTAAGTGATGGGCTGTGAATTAAATACAGGTATCAGAAAGCCCATGACTTTAATTACTACACCATAGACTAGGGGTGCACTATTGCATTTCAAAGACAGTGATATATTTTGACATTAAAAAAAAAAAACAGTGTTTTCTGGGGGAGTTTAGGCTGGAGTTGGGAGAGCACATAAAATGATCTGTTTCTCCTATAGCCTAGGACAAATGGGAGAAACAAATGAAATAATGAACATTAAAGCTTGTTTTATATGTAGGGTGGCATTAGAGGAAGAAATAACAGACTGCTTAGAGAATCTAATGACTCTTTCCCCAGAAAAGACACATATCTACAAATACAAATTTTGTCTGTACTTTCAGAGATCTGTTAGAGAGCCTCTGCATGAATGTTGGACTCTCAAATAAATGACCTGGGTTATACAGCACATTATATTTGATTAAATTACCTGCTTTACTGCCTTGCCCTGCCATTTCTATGGATCAAGTTAAAGAAATAGAAATTTATCCTTTTATGACACATGTCATTATACTGAAAACTTTACATTAAGATTTCTAAGACCAAAGAAGCATAGTTATTAAAGTATAATCTTTCCCAATTTTGTTAAGTATAATAGTTAAATTTTAAAATTAAATTTATTGGGATAACATTGGTTAATAGGGCCATGTAGGTTTCAAGTATACATTTCCATGATACCTGATCTGTATATTGCATTGTGTATGTACCACCCATAGTCAAATTATCTTTGTCACCCTATATTTGGCCCCATTTACCCTCTACCACCCTCCCCTTCCCTCTGGTAACCACCATCCTGTTGTCTCTCTGTGTCTCTGGGTTTCAGTTTTATATGCCACATATGAGGGAAATCATATGCTTCTTAGCTTTTACTGACTGATTTATTTCAC